CGCAGGCCAAGATGACACCGAAGTTGACTAGGTGGGCCGCAGAAATAGATCAGTACGACTTTGAGCTCAAGCCGGTCAAGGGAAAATACAATGTAGTTGCAGACGCCCTGAGTAGGAGATCAGACTACTTTGGAGCGATAAAGCACTATCTGGATATAGGGAGAGACCTGCAACAGAAAGTCAAAGCAATGTATGCGCAAGACCCTATTTATAGCGACCTCCTCAAGAGAGTTAACGAGGCCCCAGAGTCAAAACCAGATTACCGCACTACAGACAGCTTGTTATTTGAGAAGGCTGATGTTGTTGACCGTCTATGCGTTCCAAATAGCGAAGAGATCCGAAGTCTGATCTTAGGGGAATGCCATGATACAGAGGGACATTTCAGTTGGCAGAAGACACTAGCCAACCTCATGCGCGCATATACCTGGCCTGGTATGAAGGCCGGCTGCATAGAATACGTACGCAGTTGCAAAGTTTGTCAAAGGAATAAGACTACTACTCAAGCCCCTCTAGGTCTTCTCAGACCCTTGCCTATCCCTGAAGGACCCGGAGATTCTGTGTCTATAGACTTTATGGACGCTGGTGTCAAGAGTAGACATGGCAAGAGCCAAGTCATGGTCGTAGTAGATAGGCTTAGCAAGTATGCAATTTTTATCCCTTTGCCCTCTGAGGCACGCACATAATTAGTAATTTTTCGACCATTGGGTCAGTGAACATGGGCTACTGTTGTCTATAGTTAGTGATAGGGACACCCGGTTCACTAGACAGAATTGGCAGGAATTAATGAAAAGTCTACGGATCAAAATTGTTAATGTCATCTGGTCGTCATCCAGAGACCAACGATCAGACTGAGCAGATGAACGAAGTCCTGCAGCAAGTTCTGAGAATGTACATTAGGCCCAACCAACTTAACTGGGATGAGATGCTCCCAAAGGTAGCCTGTGCTTACAACAATAGCGTGCACTTAGCCACTTGTCGCACTTCCAACGAGCTGCATAAGTCCTTTAAACCACGCAGACCGTTTGAAGACTTAACGGGGATTAGATTCAGAGGCTACCACCCGGTACTAGGGAATTTGCAATACAGCACGAGAAAGAGATTACTGCCGTAGTTGAGAACCTCAGGAAGGCCCAGCACCGAATGATAGAGCAAGCCGACAAGCACTGTCGCCCTTCACAGTTCCAAGTCGGCGACTTAGTCTGGGTCAAGTCAAAAGAGTTCACTCCTGAGGAGAACATCTCGCAGAAACTGTTACCTGCGTATAGAGGACCGTGGCCAGTTCTAGAAGTTAAGGGCGGAGAGGATGGACCGTCCTACACAGTAGAAATTCCAGCACACTTCCACACCTACCCAGTATTCGATGCGTCAAAGTTGTTACCTTGTACCATGAGTCAGCAATTCCCATCACGGAGATCTATGATCACTCCGGATATGGATGGCAGGTACGGCATTGATCGCATAGTAGGTGAAGATGTCTTCAGAACAGTAGGTAGAGGTCGTCCACAGAAACAGTACAAAGTCAGATTCTCTTACCAAGAACCGGAAGACGACCGCTGGTTCGCCAGAGCAGAACTTCTAGAGACAGCTCCCGACGTAGTCCGAGCCTACGAAAGAGATCAGAAAGGGAAAGGTCCTGCCTTCGACTGAGCTATTCTCGGAGGACCTCGAATTTAGGCCGGCGGGAGTGAAACGGTTTTCACCTTTGCAGAAGCAGATGCAGATCCCAGGGTTCGATCCCTAGACCTTACCTACACCCGTGTACAGTATCAAGTAGACACCTGTGTGTTTGAGCCCGTGACCTGTGTTTTGGTAGTTGACTGTTGTCTGCCGTAGGTCTGTGTAGCTGTAGGGGTTTGATCTGTAGGTCTGTCAAATAGGGGTCACAGCTGTGTAGAGGTCGTAGCTGCTACAGTCCTGAAAGGTCAAGGTCGTAGCTGATACAGTCCCGAAAGGCCAAGTCCACAGACTTCCGGAAGGTCCGGAAGTGGCCTTTTGAGTTTGTTCTCACGTTACTCACAGCTGACCAGAGGCAAGTGGGCAAGTGGTGAGTCCCAGTCTCACTTTGTCCAGTTAGCAAGTACCATTTGGGACTGTGTGCACCAAGGGCCTGGTGGACAGGGGCAGACCAGCGGCCAACAGAAGTATAAATCAAGAGGCAGTGTCCAGCCATTCATTCATTACTGCGTGAGCCATGCGGAAGCGCTGCCAAGGTGACTTGTGCGAGGTGGTCTGCAGACGCCCGAAGTCGAAGTGGGCTGAAGGAAGGAGACAGCATCCAGTGCTAGTGTTAGCAAGCGGGCATTGCCGCCGTAGCTTAGCAGTTAGTGGTTAGTGAGTAGAGATGTGTGTCTGAAGCACAGTGTGTGTGAGCGTGTGGGATATCCAGGGAGATCCAGGGTGAGTGCGTGTAAACAGTGGATGTAAACTCGGAGTTGACAAGTGAAGTGAAGGCGTGCAATCGCCATAGCCATCCTGAAGCAGGTTTGTCTCTGAGTTGTGTGGGCGCTCTGCGCCAGAGCGATTTGCTATCTGTTTGCATGCATGTGAAGTGAAAAGAAGCGAGTCTGATTGTATTACCTTTCAAGATGCTGCCAGGCACGGATTGGGAAAGGCAGCATAGGAAGATGTGAAGTTGGGTGAGCACGAGAGTTGGCTGCCAGTTCCGTGAGTCAGAACAAAAGTCCTCACTGCCTGTATGTTGTCGGAGTGCACCCGTGTCGTCAAAGTACCCAGTGACGAGAGATATGATAGACCAAGTCTTTGTAAGTTCGTAGTACTAGTCAAACCTATGGATAGAGGGAAAGAGCAGGCTAGTAGATCAGAAAGAAGACCGAGGGAGTACCGCCCTCGATTAGATTGATCTTGAAAGAGTTTGTTGACCTTTAGGAGGCAGCTACCGGAGCAGTTGAGAGAGAGGGAAGACACCGGATCGAGATATAACCTAGTAGCAAGAGCCCAATGGTCCGATCTATAGGATGTCTGCTAAAGAGTGAGCAGAGCTGCATAAACAGCTAGACGAATCGGTAGCACGTCTCAATATGGTGCACCACTCTTTATTCATTTCCAACGAGAAGGGGGAACTGAGACTCGGTACAGATTATAGAGGCTTCAATGCCATCACCATAAAGAATGCCGAGTCCTTACCACACATGACAACTTATTAGATCAATCGCAGGGCTGCAAGTATTTCTCAAAAATAGACTCGAAGTCCGTGTATCATCAGGAGGTAGCAAAGGAAGACCAACATACCGCTGCGTTTCGGACCTAATGTGAACACTACAAGTTCCTTGTGATGCCCTTTGGACTTACAAACACCCTACTATATTTCAATGCTGCATAAATGATATCTTTAGAGATCAGTTTGATAGATTCGTTGTTGTATGTTTGACGGCATCTTAGTATTCAATAAGATGTTGGAAGAACATGTAGAGTTGATAGAAAGCAAGTTCAAGGTAACTCCGAAGACATGTGAGTGGGCCAAGCAGCAACTGTTATCACGTCGTAGATGGAGATGGGGTACAGCCAGCAGATGCCAAGATGGAGGCAATCAGAGATTAGCGAACTCCAAAGACTCTCACTGAGCTACAGTCATTTCTAGGTTTCGCCAACTATTACAGAAGCGTACAAAACATCACTACCATCTTCACTCGAATAGAACACCCTATCATTATCGCTGTGCCCAGACCGAAAGTTGCCCCAAATACAGCGGTAATGACCGGGCGTTGTATTCAGGTGGAAGACAGTAGGAGCGCAGCACCACGACATAGGCTGTTGAAGTAGGAAGCTTTGTGGTTAAGGGACAAGGCTGTACGTCACCATTTCAGAAGTTGAAGAAGGTGTTGCTTGATACCCAGTCATAAAGATTGCGGATCCATCCCTACCATTTGCAGTGACAAATGACAGATCGGTTTGGGATAGGGGTTGTATTGCAGCAAGAGGACGGCAAGGGTACCGCCCGTTGAATTTATGCCTAAGTGGTTTCCCTCGGACAAAGTAGCTTTGTCAATGTATGCACTATATGAGGCATTGCAGGATTGGCAATGCTATCTCCTAGAAAGATATTTCAAAGTGTACTCGGACCGTGAAACATTTGCAATAGTTGAAGACACAGTCTTGGCTGTCACCTAAAGATTGATTTTGTGTTATCGCTACACAAAAGATAGGATCCTTAGTGAGATTATATTTGAGTTAAGGAAAGAGGTCACAACATGCCCAAGTATAGGGTCACTAACGGTTTGTTGTTCTTAACATCCAACAATGCAAGATTGATTGCGCATCCCAAAAAGAAAGAGGAAATCTGAAGTATAATGCTAGGGAAGTGCCATGATGCAGAGGAACGTTTTGCATGGCCAAAGACAGAGAGTGCAAACATGCTCATACCGTAATACTATACGCGAGGCTGGCAGTGGACAGTAGTGCAGTGGACGGCGCGGTAGCTTGAGAGGGAGAGGGACGAGGAGCACATTGAGAGAGAGAGAGAGAGAGAGAGAGAGAGAGAGAGAGAGAGAGAGAGAGAGAGAGAGAGAGAGAGAGAGAGAGAGAGAGAGAGAGAGNGAGAGAGAGAGAGAGAGAGAGAGAGAGAGAGAGAGAGAGAGAGAGAGAGAGAGAGAGAGAGAGAGAGAGAGAGAGAGAGAGAGAGTTACCTTGTTGTTGTTGTCATTGTTGTTGATCTGCAGCCATAGCCGCCAGATTACATACATGCAATGTCATGCATCCTGTTGTATGACACTTTGATTTCCAGACATCTTTTGGAGTCCTAACTCGTGTGTTGGTTTCATCTTGTGTGCGAGCTTGGTGTGCAATTCTGTGAAGTGGATGCTGTGCGACTCGTGGGCTCATTGCAATTAAGATGTCGAGTTCATGTTGTCTGCACTCCAAAGTGTTCCTGCTTGAAGGGAGGGAGGGATAAGGAGAGGGAGGAAGATGAGGAGGAGAAAAACTGGCAGATAGCGGGTTTGTTGACTGTGTTCTCGTTTTCTATATGGTCTATATTCACGCAGATTTCAGCCATTCCACAGGATCCCGTGCTGTTTGGAAGCACCGTTCGCTTCAATCTTGATCCTTTCAGGTGCTAAAACAATCTTGCCTGCCTCAACCTTAATCAGCCTAAGGTCCTCGTTATGCCGTCACCTGTCATCTTTGCAACTTGAAGGGTCCCTTTCTTTTTTTCCCTTTTGTTTTCATTTCCAGAGTTTCTCCCTTGCAATGGAAACTTGCTTGTCCGCTTCGGGCTCGGAAATCTAAGGGCCTCGCTCCATTACAGAGCATTCTACATGTATCCGTACTGTGTCGCAGACCCAATACATTCGGACCGATCCATCATTTGAATGCATCCAATGATTACCAGGTTAAGATTCAGTTAGAAGGTTGTGCACTGGAGCGAGGCCCTTAGTAGGTACTCTTACCAAACCTGTAGGCTCCACACTCGGGATGACGTCTAACAAGTCCTGAAGCTCTACAACATTGCCTCAGCTCTTTTTTTCTCCTCTCCTTCCCCTTCTTCTTCTTCTTCTTCTTCTTCTTCTTCTTCTTCTTCTTCTTCTTCTTCTTCTTCTTCTTCTTCTTCCACTACTACTACTACTACTACTACTACTACTAGTCTTGTTACGGACTTCGCCAGGGCTCGATCCCTGGTCTAACTTTTGCTGTTTTGGCTGCATCCCGTTTTCGGCCTGGCACCCTTTTTCCAAACCCCTCCTTTGGTACCGTAGGATTTTGGACAACTGGCGCCATGCTGCAATTCGGACGCCACTTTCAAATACTGCATTTTTCAGTTCTGCC